ATTTTACTCGGGCTTACAAATTATAAAATTCCTTACTATAGTGATATCAATTGCTCCTCTTGGGGTCATGGTTTTTTTCCTTTATTCAGAAGAGTTTTCCACGTAAAAATCTTGGTGTCGTTGCCGGTCTTTTATTATTGTAGATTATCGTATCTCGGTGCTACGTTATTATTCCGCTTTTATTACCGTAAATATTATTTTTGTGAGGGGTTTATTCCAACAACTGACATCAGAGCACAGGTTCTGCTTATACGCAGAAATATTATACACGGTTGGTAGTACTATACTCAGAAAAAAATGTCTAGAGTAAAGTGCGAGGTAGCAAAATTCAACGGAGATAGCGGTTTCTCAACATGGCAAAGAAGGATGAGGATCTGCTCATCCAACAGGGATTACACAAGGTACTAGATGTTGACGCCAGAAAGCCTGATACCATGAAAGCTGAGGATTAGGCTGACTTGGATGAGAAGGCTGCTAGTGCAATCAGGTTGCACTTATCAGATGATGTGGCAAATAACATCATTGATGAAGATACCGCATGTGGTATTTGGAAAAGGTTAGAAAGACTATAGATGTCCAAAACGCTGAGAAATAAATTATACTTGAAGAAGAAACTATACGCCCTACACATCGGTGAAGGTACAAATTTTTTATCACATTTAAATGTGTTTAACGGACTAATCACACAGCTGGCCAACCTCGGAGTGAAAATCGGGGAAGAAGATAAAGCCATCTTGCTGTTGAACTCGTTTCCATCTTCGTACGATAATTTGGCAACAACCATCCTGCACAGTGAGACTACCATTGTCACGACCCAATTCAGGATCGTGACCGGCGCTTAGGAGCAAGTGCTCCCAAGTAAGCCTCATCGGTATTTTACAGAAAATCGGACAGAGTTTCTCCTGTTTTTGGACTATCCCAAAATTTTCCCTGTCTCAATACCGAAGTCTATTTCTCATATTGGAGGTAGTCCTAGTAAATCCTTAGGAATACATTAGAGAATCTCTCATTATGATACTTTTTTTTTCTTCTCAAACTAAGTGTTTCTTCTCTTCTGCCTCTTACCGTATCTACGAGATCTAAACAACCTTTCTTCTAGAGCTATTAAGCCTTCAAAATATATAATTTGCTCGTCTCTAGAACCTATAATCCCCTTTTTGGACAAAACCAGCTTTTAAAGTAACCAAACCTAATAGTCTTTCTATAGTAATCGAGGGTAGCATGGTAAGAAGATAACTAATCCATATCCATCTGTGCATTAGAGTCAACCATATCAAATACAACTTGGTTAGCTAGGGTTTCCTTCTCTTAACTTGAATCTTAAAAGTTTTAAACACATGTCTAACTACTATAAATTTTTCACAGGTGTGGCAACCCGAAAAGGATCTCTTAATATCTCAAAACATTCTTGATTTTTAAATCTTCGACTCATATTAAAATCCATACTAAAACATATTCTAATCTCGATCTTCTTATGTGAGTTCTTGCCCGCCTATCATGTTCATATTTTCAATCTTTCTGGTAAGTGCAACTGCTACAGAATAGGTTTAAGTCTTCATATACGTAGTTACTATAATGTTTAAATAATTAACCAACCTTTCAACAAGCCTATAAACTTACGATATTGCTTGTGTATCCAGCTGAGAAAGTTTGGTGTTATATGTAAGTATACCCAATGTCTAAATCAATTTCTTAAATGATCTAGCAGACAAGTTCACGTTACAAACTTTCAAGAAGGAGGTGATTCATAAACACTTTAGTGAAATTTATTCTCAAATTAGTTGTGTTTCTCTTGTTGGCATCTCTAAGAGTACAGTAGCATTTCATGTATTCGCCATGTTCTCTAGTCTAAAAGTTGCCTGTTCTATAGACCTCTTCATGAAATATCCTATGGCTCATAACGTGGTAAGTATTTTACTAAAACCTTTAAGGATCCTTTGAACTATCAGAAATAGTAAACTTAGTAGTTTCAACTTTAGGAACTTTATTTAGAAAATTTTGTTGGTCCCCATAATCTTCTAGGTGCATGAGAACTTTAGAGCCCCTATTCTGTTGCTCATTCTTCTCATGTTTATCTAGTACCTCCATAAAGATCACAATTTTTTTTTCATTTTTTTCATGGAGGTAAGTACCTTTTTGTGATAGCACTCCTCTATCGCTGTAGTGGTGGACTAATATAAATTTCCGAAATGGACTCTATTATGCATCTTATCGGAAAGCACCGCATATGGCACAATGAACCTTTCACTGGTCTTGTATACTACTTACGTAGCATTTCTCTTCTTGGAGATGGCTGCATGTCCATTGCCGAAATTTGACGTTTTGAAGTTTGAACCACTAGGAAAATTCTATTATAGTGTAATTGGTCCGAGCCATACACGAATAGGATAAGTAATGATAGATTCAGTTATTTTACCCTAATCGCCACACACGTACGGAGGAATAAGAAAGAAAGACAAGACACATCCTATCACGCCCTCGCAGAATCACGATTATGGGAATGGCCGGCTACATAAACATAATTGAGATTCTACTACCGATGTGTGCTCCATTAGTCACAAGAATAACCTAGGGCTCTGATACCAACTTTGTCACGACCCAATTTAGGATGGTGACCGGCGCTTAGGAGCAAGTGCTCCCAAGTAAGCCTCATCGGTATTTTACAGAAAATCGGACAGAGTTTCCCCTGTTTTTGGACTATCCCAAAAAATTTCCCTGTCTCAAATCAGCATCCAACATCCTAATAGCAATTCAAACAATCGACAACTTATCAATTAACCAAAATAGTCTTCACCATTACTAATCAACCCACTAACAACCAGAAATACTAATTTATCTCCGACTTTGATAATAAAGGACGATACTCAACATAAGACTAATAGCAAAATAATACTCATGACACTAAAAGAATGACTATGGAGAGACTCTAAGAATTCAAAGAAAAGATCATAACAATTGATAAAAATCGCCGCCCACGCGAACAAGTGCGAGGCTCACCAAGAATTCTCAACCTGTGCGCTCTAATTAACGAAATCCTCGCCTGCGTCAACTGTTGTCTCTGTAAAAAAAAATTAGCGGGGAATGAGTCGCTAGCTTAGTGAGTAATAACACTTAACCACAACCGTTTTTAACTTGGGGACAAGTCAGAAAACATGCTAGTATATCAAACAGAAAACAACATAAAATGCCCTTTCAGAAACAATAGATAATTTTCAGTCTCATCACGTTTTTCTTGTAGTAAAATATAATTAACAATTCAGTAATAAGCTCGGTAACCACTGTATAATATCAGTATTCACATTTTGGGAGGTTTCAATGAACGAATCATGTAATCGCTATAACTGTGGACTTCTTCGCAAGAAGTCAAATATAACGGTAGTCCCTACTCGAGTGAAATCGGTAACGGTATGCTAGTTCTACCTTTCCACTAGCGAGGGCTATAACTGTACTCTGTAATCGGTAAATACAAGGTGCACTAGGTCTAACGAACCCGCCGTTAGCTACGGGACCCTTCAAAGTCTCCTCCCTTTTATACTCTTTCTTGTAAACAGTAGATACTCGTACAAAAGCATTTTCAAAATAATAAAGGGCATACCGTTTCTTATCAAATCTTATAATTTTATTTCGGTAACGGTAATCATGTCTCAAGTAATAGTAAAACATGTCTAGTAACAGTGAGAATAATTCAAATAACTATAACATCTCAAATAACGGTAAAACATATCCAGTAACGGTAAAAACGTTTAGATTAACTGGTAAACATCTCAAGTAAACTGTTCGGTACCATATCAAGTAAAGGACTTGTCCCACATGCAATTTCAAAGCATCGTTAACACATTTATTTTCAAAATCATATATAAACCATGCAGGTTATGAAAACACAAATTGTGGTAAGATTACTTCTCACAGTACTCGTGTCGAAATACCAAACTCGTCGCCTCGAGCGATCTGTACGGATTTCTTCAATCAATCTATAATCACATCAATATCGATCTGGTATTAATTTCTTTGTTTAAGCTAATTCATAGCTAAATTTAGATTCCAAATCCTTAGCATTTTATGTTATACCATCAATTTGTTGAATTATATTATCCATGCTATGAGTAATTTAACTGGTCTATAATCTATCAATTTCAACTTACTCGTATATTTATTTATTTTTTTCAATTTTCTTTTACCCAAGTTATGCCAATTATGTGTATATATCTAAATCATATAGGATCACTATCGACAATACTTTCTTTCTTACCTAACAAAATTATATACACCTAGAAGATAATCTTAAGCAAGTGAAGTAAGAAAGTTTATCCTTTGAATTAAAAAGAATGCCTTCAACAAATTGCATTTGCTTCTACGTATGTTCCCACATTTAATTCATATTATTACATACAAAGATATAAAGAATTTGATTTGTTTTAAAAAAATAAATCTTCATTACAAAGTATTCTACAGGTACCCATGATTCTTCCATAAAGTGCTATGAGTTAAGGGAAGCATTACTTAATCTTTTCTTGTTTCTAATTATATTAGTCAATCTCACTATATAACTCAAATTATTTAATTTATATACTCTCATATTAGTAAAACAAAATATAAGAATATTATATTACCTATTTTTCAAAGTTTGGTTCCAACCTCTTTCTTCTTCTTCTTCTTCTTCTTCTTCTTCTTCTTCTTCTTCTTCTTCTTCTTCTTCTTCTTCTTCCTTTTTCCCTTCTCTGTGTTTTTTTTTGGCTTCTGCTGCAGCAGCAGCGCTGCTTTCCCTTTTCCCCAACTCCCTTTTCTTTCTTTTGGTTCACGTAGGTTTTTGCCCTTATTTTAAGTTGATTAGGTTTTCTTTTTTTTTTTTTCTTTTCTTGTATTTTTTTTTTGTTATGTTAAAAGACCAACATACCCTAACTTAAATATGGGTCATGACATCCTACCCATCTTATGAAATTCGGTCCCCGAATTTAACTCATGTATATACCTGTAGACCGAAATAAATGAGAATACTTGACTCATATATCATCTTCCACTTCCCAAGTAGCTTCTTCAATGGTGTGATTTCTCCACAAGACTTCAACAACCACAACTTCTTTTGACAGTAACTTCCTGACTTGTCTAGCGACAATAACCATCGGCTCCTCCTTGTAAGTCAACTTCTCATCGAGTGGTATAGTAGGTGCTTCAAGCACTTGAGAGGAGTCTGATATACAATTTTTTTTTTGGCATGGAGACATGAAAGACTGGGTGAATATAAGATAACTAAGGAGGAAGTTCCAAATGATATGCCACAACTCCCACTTGGTCAAATATTTCATACTGACCTATAAACCTCGGGCTCAACTTACCTCTTTTCCAAATCGCATCACACCCTTCATAGGAGATACCTGTATGAACACTCTATCTCCAATTGTGAACATTAAGTCTCTTCTTTCTCTTATCCGCATAAGATTTTTGTCTATTTTAAACTGTGAGCAATCGCGGTCTAATCAATTAGACCTTGTCAATAGCTTTTTGTACTAAGTCGGGTCCCAATAAGTTAGTCTTCCCAGCTTCAAACCTTTCGATAGGATAACGACATCTTCTACCATATAATGCTTCGTACGATGCCATCTCAATACTGGACTGGAAGCTATTGTTGTAAGCGAATTCAGCTAAAGGTAGATAAGCGTCCCAACTACCTCCAAACTCAAGAATACCATCTCTCAACATATCCTCCAAGATCTGCATAGCACATTCGGACTTTGTGTTTGCGTGCAATAAAACTAGAACTAAGATCTACTCGTGTACCCAATATTTCTTGAAAAAGTTTTCAAATCGTAAAGTGAATGCAATCCTCTATTAGAACTGATGGAAAATAGAGCTCTATTGAGTCAGATAATTTTCTGTTCATGTATATCTATGCATATTTTACCTCACTATAAGAGGTTTTGACTAGCAAGAAACGTGCCTACTTGGTAAGCCAATTTACAACTTTCCCACATATAATCATACTTCTATTGGTTTGAGTAATTTAGTCATATAATGTATTGTTCTATTGTATTTCCACTTCAGAATCTTGAGTTGTTTTAGTGGACCTATGAGTCGCAAGTGCTTGCCTTAACATACTGACATGTCAAATAGTTAGAAACAAAGTTAACGAATTTATTTTTTCCTTCTTTCTTTTCCAACCAATCAATTTTTTTTACAGTCATGGTGCATCTTATAGACCTGATATATGCAATATATCTAGAGTTGTGAGCTCCATCACGAATAGCTTGTCTCAACCCATATATGTTTGCTACACGTAATTAATTACCCAGTCGGAGAATACCCTCACTATTAATAATCATATCCTTGCTTTTACCATCTAGAAACTAATCTCGGTAATTAAACAATCGTTCATCCTTGTATTGGCTAGCCTTTATACACTCTACATCGAGCTTGACCAATAGCCAATAATGTATTTGAATTTATTTTTTTAAATTGAATCTAATACGTGTACCCTCTAGTCTATGCATATCTTCGTCCAAAAGTATCTCTACAGGAGCTAAATGCGTCAAATCACCCATAGTTTTTTTTGGCATAAGCTATAATATTTATCTTTTCCAAACAGTACAAAACTATAAAATTATATCTTCAGCAGTTCCCTCCATTAGCATTGCTAAATATTTATATCTTTGTTGATTCTAAATGTACTTCAGGATCTAGTGCTAGGTATAAATCTCATAGGTTTCTTCGTATAAATAGTGTCTCTAAATCTTAAAAGGAAATACCAATTTGATTATCTCCAAATCATGAATGGCATAATATGACTTGAGCTTCTTCAATTTCTTTAGAGCATAGGCTATCACGTGACTATTTTGTATGAGAAAATATCCTAATCCTACCCTCGAAGTATCACATAACATCGTGAATCCTCTAGAGCCTGTTGGAATAAGGCTAACATTAGTGTGATTGTCAAACATGTTTTCTCGTTATACATTTCTCCATCCACTAAAATTTAGCGATTTTCTATGTTAACTTGGTGGGTGGTGGTGCTATTCTAGAGAAATCCTACACAAATACCTATAATAGCTTGTCAAGCCAAAGGTAATCTCTGTAGGAAAAATGGGTCTCGGCCATTTATGAATTGTTTATATCTTCATAGAATCTACCATTTTTTTTATTCTTAGATACCATGTGTCCTTTGATTACCATCGAGTCCAGCTAATTGAAGAACTTGGAAAAAAGTTGATTTTCCTGCAGCGTCTTTGGCATATTTTTCAAGTAATTCTCGTGTTCTTCCTGGGTACAAGAATATACCAGAATATAGCAAGTAAAAACTATGAATTTTTTTTTCTCAAGAAATAACTTTGAACACCATATTCATTATATACATCAATGCAATTGGAGCATTGGCCAATCTAAAGGACATAGCAGGTAACTCATAATATTTGTACCGAGTACTAGAGGCAATATCGAAATATCTTCCCTTCTTATTCTAAGCTGATGATAACCAGACTAAAGATCAATGGCTCCTTGTAACTGATCAAACAAGTTATCTGTACAAGACAAGGGATATTTGTTGTATATTATTATCTTATTTAATTATCTGTAGTTGGCCCACATTCTTAAACACTCATCTTTTTTTTTTCAAACAATATTGGTGTACCCTATGGTGCAACACGCGGTATAATAAAACCTGTATCCAGTAGGTCTGTAAATTATTCAATTAGCTCTCTCAACTCTGTTGGTGCCATATGATATAGTTTGCATGTCAGGTGTCAGCTCAATACCGAAGTCTATTTCTCATATTGGAGGTAGTCCTAGTAAATCCTTAGGAATACATTAGAGAATCTCTCATTATGATACTTTTTTTTCTTCTCAAACTAAGTGTTTCTTCTCTTGTGCCTCTTATCGTATCTACGAGATCTAAACAACCTTTCTTCTATAGTTGTTAAGCCTTCAAAATATATAATTTGCTCGTCTCTAAAACCTATAATCCCCTTTTTGGACAAAACTAGCTTTTAAAGTCACCAAACCTAATAGTCTTTCTATAGTAATCGAGGGTAGCATGGTAAGAAGATAATTAATCCATATCCATCTGTGCATTAGAGTCAACCATATCAAATACAACTTGGTTGGCTAGGGTTTCCTTCTCTTAACTTGAATCTTAAAAGTTTTAAACACATGTCTAACTACTATAAATTTTTCACAGGTGTGGAAACCCGAAAAGGATCGCTTAATATCTCAAAACATTCTTGATTTTTAAATCTTCGACTCATATTAAAATCCATACTAAAAGATATTCTAATCTCGATCTTCTTATGTGAGTTCTTGCCCGCCTATCATGTTCATATTTTCAATCTTTCTGGTAAGTGCAACTGCTACAGAATAGGTTTAAGTCTTCATATACGCAGTTACTATATTGTTTAAATAATTAACCAACCTTTCAACAAGCCTATAAACTTATGATATTGCTTGTGTATCCAGCTGAGAAAGTTTGGTGTTATATGTAAGTATACCCAACGTCTAAATCAATTTCTTAAATGATCTAGCAGGCAAGTTCATGTTACAAACTGTCAAGAAGGAGGTGATTCATAAACACTTTAGTGAAATTTATTCTCAAATTAGTTGTGTTGCTCTTGTTGGCATCTCTAAGAGTACAGTAGCATTTCATGTATTCGTCATGTTCTCTAGTCTAAAAGTTGCCTGTTCCATAGACCTCTTCATGAAATATCCTATGGCTCATAACGTGGTAAGTATTTTACTAAAACCTTTAAGGATCCTTTGAACTATCAGAAATAGTAAAATTAGTAGTTTCAACTTCAGGAACTTTATTAAGAATATTTTGTTGGTCCCCATAATCTTTTAGGTGCATGAGGACTGTAGAGCCCCTATTCTGTTGCTCATTCTTCTCATGTTTATCTATTACCTCCATAAAGATCTCAATTTTTTTTTTCATTTTTTTCATGGAGGTAAGTCCTTTTTTGTGATAGCACTCCTCTATCGCTGTAGTGGTGGACTAATATAAATTTCCGAAATGGACTCTATTATGCATCTTATCGGAAAGCACCTCATATGGCACAATGAACCTTTCTCTGGTCTTGTATACTACTTACGTAGCATTTCTTTGCTTGGAGATGGCTGCATGTCCATTGCCGAAATTTGACGTCTTTGAAGTTTGAACCACTAGGAAAATTCTATTATAGGGTAATTGGTCCGAGCCATACACGAATAGGATAAGTAATGATAGATTCAGTTATTTGACCCTAATCACCAAACACGTACGGAGGAATAAGAAAGAAAAACAAGACACATCCTATCACGACCTCGCAGAATCACGATTATGGGAATGGACGGCTACATAACAATAATTGATATTCTACTACCGACGTGTGCTCCATTAGTCACAAGAATAACCTAGGGCTCTGATACCAACTTTGTCACGGCCCAATTCAGGATCCTGACCGGCGCTTAGGAGCAAGTGCTCCCAAGTAAGCCTCATCGGTATTTTACAGAAAATCGGACAGAGTTTCCACTATTTTTGGACTATCCCTAAAATTTTCCCTGTCTCAAATCAGCATCCAACATCCTAATAGCAATTCAAACAATCGACAACTTATCAATTAACCAAAATAGTCTTCACCATTACTAATCAACCCACTAACAACCAGAAATACTAATTTATCTCCTACTTTGATAATAAAGGACGATACTCTACATAAGACTAATAGCAAAATAATACTCATGACACTAAAAGAATGACTATGGAGAGACTCTAAGAATTCAAAGAAAAGATCATAACAATTGGTAAAAATCGCCGCCCACGCGAACAAGTGCGAGGCTCACCAAGAATTCTCAACCTGTGCGCTCTAATTAACGAAATCCTCGCCTGCGTCAACTGTTGTCTCTGTAAAAAAAATAAGCGGGGAATGAGTCGCTAGCTCAGTGAGCAATAACACTTAACCACAACCATTTTGAATTTGGAGACAAGTCAGAAAACATGCTAGTATATCAAACAGAAAACAACATAAAAATGCCCTTTCGGAAACAATAGATAATTTTCAGTCTCATCACGTTTTTCTTGTAGTAAAATATAATTAACAATTCAGTAATAAGCTCGGTAACCACTGTATAATATCAGTATTCACATTTTTGGAGGTTTCAATGAACGAATCATGTAATCGGTATAACTGTGGACTTCTTCGCAAGAAGTCAAATATAACGGTAGTTCCTACTCGAGCGAAATCGGTAACGGTATGCTAGTTCTACCTTCCCACTAGCGAGGGCTATAACTGTACTCTGTAATCGGTAAATACAAGGTGCACTAGGTCTACCGAACCCGCCGTTAGCTACGGGACCCTTCAAAGTCTCCTCCCATTTATACTCTTTCTTGTAAACAGTAGATACTCGTACAAAAGCATTTTCAAAATAATAAAGGGCAAATCGTTTCTTATCAAATCTTATAATTTTATTTCGGTAACGGTAATAATGTCTCAAGTAACAGTAAAACATGTCTAGTAACAGTGAGAATAATTCAAATAACTATAACATCTCAAGAAACGGTAAAACATATCCAGTAACGGTAAAAACGTTTAGATTAACTGGTAAACATCTCAAGTAAACTGTTCGGTACCATATCAAGTAAA